ATACATCAAACTCCGGATTAAATCCTTATCATCAGCGCTAAGCGATGTTTTTAGAGTACCACAGTTTTTAGACATTTTAATAAACACGATTCTGAGAAAAATAAACCAGCTTTTTCCTTCACAGATACACAGAAACACAGCGGCTCGGAGGCCACTTCAACATTTCAGAACGTAAACAAACACACAGACCTGTAGCGGTCTGCTCCTTTCCTCCGCCTGGCTGATCAGACCAGCGGGTTGGAAAGTCAAACTGTTTCGTTCAACTCAGCCCAAAATTAATCAGCGTGTTAAAAACAATCTTCTGCTTTTCCGTGCGTGAATTAAACGTTTGTCTTCACGTTGGAGCGCCAATAGAGAATGTAGAGGAATACATGCACAGGATATTGGACTTCTGGTCCAGTCAAACCCGTACCCTTTAACAGGTTTTACTCTGGACCGGCCTCACCTCAAACATATATAAACCATGAGTTCTTGTATTGAACTTAATTCCTGTCCCTCGAAGAAAACATGAAAAATCTGTAATTTAAATACAGTTCTGTAATGTTTATTTTCAGTTTGAATTATGACTTGAAAATTATGGCAAATATTAAATATGAATATGAACCAATAATATTACTTTAGAAAGAAAATGGCATAAATCTGAGGACTTTGAGAAGGGGTTTTGATTCAATTTGGACTAAGGTCTAGCTCTTAATGTTACAATTTAGGTAAGTTTATCTCAGAGTTATGAATTAAATTATCTAATCAAACTTAGTTGGCACTGTTTCATGGTCCTCTCATCAGAAGGAAGATGTTCATCTCTCATTACCACAGCGGATGCATGAAGGAAGCCAGTGGCCCGCTGTCCCAAGAAGGAGGTCGTTTCTCAGGGCTGCGGTTTGTTCGGCTCGTACCTTTAGCTCCAGGGTGTTTGAGGTTTTTCAGATGTCCACTATCTCTCAGCTGTACACGTCTTCCCTCATATGGCTGTTGTTTCTCAGAGAGTCTCATCAACTCTCCACAACCACTCATTCCATCTTCTCAGCTCAGCTGATGATCCCAAGCCAACTTTCTTCATCGGCTGCCATCTCACAACTCCCCTTCAGTATACCTGGCACCAAGAAGATGGGCCTCTTAACTTTTAACCAATAAGAGGACTTCTTACAGTAGGAGTATCCCACTGTATAATTAATGTAATTAAAATCTCCCTTCTCAAAGATCTTCAGAGAAGATAATACAATGACCCTTTGTTAAGGATGTGTGACACCATGCTGATACAAACAAAATGGGTTTCTTTGAATCAGAACTTCAACTTGGGGTTAACTTCCTTTACTGTCATGGCGACCAGTCTCTGTTGATAAAGCCAAGTCAAGCTCTTTGATCAAGACCCTTCTTTAGGAGTCTCGAAGTCTGGTGACGCAACATAGAAGACTCAGCTTAAGTGAGCAGCCCGTTACTTTTAACGAAGGACTGTCCACCTCCGTGGAATCGCTGTTTTCGCCTGGAGGAGACGCTCCGGTGCTTTGAAGCGCCGCCGGACCGGAGCAGAACCGGGCCAGGGACAACTTCAGCCTCTTCGTCTCTCGTGCTGTGGAGCGCCGGAGCCGGTCTGGAGCAGAACCGGACCGGACCAGTGACGACTTCAGACTCAGCCTCTCCGGTCAGTCTCGTTTTTCACCGGGGGTGCCTCTCGTGCTGTCGGGTGCGGAGGTGTCGTGCAGGGAAGCGGAGAAGCAGCGTGAAGGAGCAACGTGGAGGAGCAGCGTGAAGGAGCAGGCCTGCGTGGTGCTCAAGAGAAGTTCGGAGATTGTATCGGGGATGCTGCAGGCCTCCATCCAAAATCACCTGGATAATAATTAATGTTATTCCGGATCACGCTGTTGGCCCCTGTTGACCTGAAACAAGCTAGGATCATGCCTTTCACTTCAGGAGGATTTTCTGGCAGCTCGCTCTGCTATTTGCTACAAATTATCTGTTTCTGTTTCGTCCTGTTGATATTGGACCCAGCTTCTGTTTCCCATGGGAGCATCCATCCATCTTCACTGGGGGGCCGGAGCCCCCCTCAGCCCAACTCAAACTGCAGTTGGGCCACCTCGTCGGGTTTGTTTGCACATTTGAATTGTGACGTTTTATGGTCTGAAACTTTTCTGCATCATTCATATTATTGTCACTATTTTCAGATCTCAGATTATCTGGAGTCACTGAATCTTGTTAATACACCTGGATCTGCACATCACTACAACTTTCACTGTTTTTGGGGTTCTGAATGATCGCGTCTTCATTAATGTTTCTTATGGTTCAATCATTGGGGCTAATTGTCACA